TCACCTCTTCCCCATTGTAAAACATTGCCCTTTGAGGACTTTTTTCATCCATCGAAACAAAAAAATGTCTCTGGGGGATGGTGAGGGGGAGATCAGGTAAATGGAGAGGGAGGTTGGGGCACAGGGATCATGCCATTTTGGGTCAAAAACTGCTGAAAATTCAGCGCAGTGAGGGCAGGTGCGTTGTCATGGTAGAAGAACCAGTCATCAGTTTGCCACAACTCAGGATGTTCCTTTTGCAAATCATGATGCAACCTTCTCAAAACTTCCAGATATAAACTTTGGTTGACCATTTGATCCGGAGGAACAAATTCCAAGTATACTACAAGGGGCCTACCCTCCAAAAAGATAGTTCCAGGTTTTTTTTGGTCCCCTCTTGTATTCTGGGGACTAGTGATGATGGTGTGTCAAGTGTAGCAAAACAGTTTTGCATTTTGATGCACTCCAATTTGTTTTTTCTTCTGTGGCTTGTGTTTTTGGTGTCATATCTAATTTATTGTTTAATCCAAAATCAAGACCTCTTTGTTTTCTTCTAAGAGTTTTGTAGTTTTAGGTTTCACCTTTAGGTCTATTTGGGTTTTGTTTTGTTTTGATTTTTAAGAGACAAGGTCTTGTGATGTTGCCCAGGCTGGTCTCAAACTCTTGGCCTCTGCCTTCACCTCTCAGGTAGCTGGGACTACAGGCATGCACCACCAGACCTGGCTTTGAGTTAATTTTTGTATATAGTCTAAGGAAGAGGTTCAACTTCATTCCTTCTCATGTGGATTTCCCTTTGAATTTTCTTGTACCTTTACTTTCTTTCTTTCTTTCTTTCTTTCTTTCTTTCTTTCTTTCTTTCTTTCTTTCTTTCTTTTTTTAAGATTTTGCTGACTATAAATTCTAGATTGACAAATTTTTTCTTTCAGTACTTTAAAGATGTTGCTTCACTGTCTTCTCACTTGTGTTGTATCTAATGAAAAATCCGATATCATACCAATCTTGATTTCTCAGTATGTAACCATGTTTTTTCCTTCTGGATATTTTTTAAGATTTTCTCATTATCATTGGTTTTGATCGATCTGATTTTTGTGCTTGGGGTTTGCTCAATTTTTTGGAGCTGTGGATTTATAGCGTTCATTAGATTTAGAACCATTTTGGAATCATTGGTTTTTTTACTTCTAGTTTCTGCCTCCTCTCTTCACTTCTCAAGAGACTCCAGTTACCTGTTAGGCCACTTGAGGTGCCCCCACAGTTCACTGATGCCCTTTTCACTTTTATAATTTTATTTTCTCTCTGAATTTTATTTTGAATAATTTCTTCAAGGCAAATCATCTTTGGCCATTGTATAATTTGCCATCAATCCCTTCAGTGAATTTTTCATCTTACACATTGTAATTTTCATAATAGAAGTTCAATTTGGATCATTTTTTAATATCTTCTATGTCTCTATTTCTTTTAATATATAGAGCACAGTTATAACTTCTAATGTTTTTATATAATTATTTCATTTTTATCCATTCTGAATCAGTTTCAATTGACTGATTTAACTCATTATGCACTATATTTTCTTGCTTGATTGCATACCTGGTAATCTTCATTTGGATGGCCAGACTTTGTGAAATTTCTCTTGTTGAGTACCATCTGTTTTTGTTTTCCTAGAAATATTCTTGAGCTTTATTCTGGAACAGTTAAGTTACATGGGAACAGTTTGATCTTTTTAGAGTTTTGGGGGTTTTTTTGAGTTGGAGTCTCGCTCTGACCCCCAGACACCATGGCACGCTCATGGCCACCACAACCTCGACCTGCTGGGCTCAGGTGGTCCTTCTGCCTCAGCCTTCCAAGTAGCTGGAACCACAGGCGTGTGCTACCACACCCAGCTAATTTTTTGACTTACTGTAGAGACAAGGTCTTGACAAGTTGCCCAGGCTGTTCTCGAACCTCTGGACTCAGGCAGTACTCTCTGCCTCCCAAAGTGCTAGGGTTACAGGCATGAGCCACCACTTCCAGCTTAGGTATAGCCAAACAGCTTAGTCTAAGGTTAATTATTCCCCATTACTAAGGCAAGATCCTTCTGTATACTCCATCAGTGCCCCATAAATATTGAGTTTTTCAGCCTAGCTTTTAGGAATAGTCACTATTCCACATTCCCTTTGTGAACCTGAGGCACTATTTCTTCTAATCCTTTCAAATATTTCTTTCCCTAACCTTGTTTAATTTTCTCACAGGCAAACATTAATGAGTACCCAGCTGAATACTCGAAAGAAGCCCTTACAGATCACTGGCATCTCTCTTCTCCCATATCCTGACTGGTGAACTCTAGCCGCCTTCGTTTTGCCAGACTCTCAGCACCACCTCCTCAGTTCAGAATCCACCATACCCTGCCTATGTTCCCCAATCTTGTGCCATATTTTGGAAAGTCTTCAGGCAGTTAGCCGGAACAGTTGTAGGGCTCAACTCATTTGCTTCCCACCTCTCAGAGATTACTGGCTTGCATTATGTGATATCCAGCTCTTGTAACCATTGCTCATATGTTTTGTCTACGTGATTGTTTGTAGTGGGAGGGTGAATCTGGTCCCTATAATCCGTCTTGTCTTGGAGCAGAAGTCTAATATATTATTTTTAAAAGTTATTTCATACTGGATGTGTGGGAAGTAGGGTGCCTATTTATGTGTAATAAATGGAAGTAAGACAAGCAGCTATTTATTTGAGAGAATAATTTAGTTCTATTCCTCACTGTGTAATTTCCAACTAGAGAATCTTTACTTGAAAATCAATATTATAAAAGTATTAGAATAAGATATAGGAAAATATTTTTATTTTCTTGGGCTTAGGAAAGATTTTTCTAAACAAGACATAAATCTGGAAACCATAAATGAAATAACTAGCATATTTAATTACACGAAAATTAAAACTATCTGCATGTCAAGGCAAAAGAGAAGCACAGACGGAGAGGAAAACAATATTTTAAAAGGGAAAAAGAGGTTAATGTCCAGAATACATAAAGAACTACAAATATTTTTTTTCAATCTATAAGAAAGAGAAAAAAAAAGCAGGCAGTTTATAAGGGGAAAAAATACAAAGAGCCAGTAATCAAATGAAAAATGTTTAGCCCCAATCAGGGAAATACAAAATATTAAATTTTACTTTCACCAATCATTTATAAAAACTCCAGTGTTTTGAGGGGATGAGTAAATGAGTACTCCTGCATCTTACCAGGAAGCTTCTAAAATGGTAGGGTCTGGCTGGGCTCAGTGACTCAGCCTGTAATCCCACACTTTGGGAGGCCGAGGTGAGTGAAAAGCCTGACCCCACGGGTTCAAGACCCGCCTGGACAACTTGTTGAGACCTCATCTCTACAATAAATCAAAAATTAATCGGGCGTGGTAGCACGCACCTGTAGTTCCAGCTACTTGGAAGGCTGAGGCGGAAGGATCACCGGAGCCCAGCAGGTCAAGGCTGTGGTGGTCGGGAGCGTGCCACTGCACTCCAGCCTGGACGACAGAGTGAGACTCCAACTCAAGAAATAAAATAAAATAAAATGGTAGGGTCTTTTGGATGGCAAATTGATAATTTCTTACATAATTGAAATTATACTTCCTCCTTGGCTAGTGATTTCACTTCTAGGAATTTATATATTCTATAGAAATACCTGTACATATGCACAATTTTCTATAACTAAGCTTTGTTTTCGCAGTAAAAAAAAAAAAAAAAAACAGGAAACAATCTAATGACCATTAACAAGAGGAATAGTTAAATAAATTGCGATTATCTGTTCTGTAGATTGCTGCAGTTTTTAAAAGTAACAATGGATCTATGGTATTGATGTGGAGAAATCTCCAATATGGAAGCTAGCAACCCATAGAACATTTAGTGTGATCCAATCTGTGTTATTAAAAAAAACCCAGAATAACAGGAAATTATACATTTGTGTGTGTGTGTATGTGTGTGTGTGTGTGTGTGTGTGTGTGTGTGTGTGTGTGTGTGTGTGTGTTTGGTTGGATGAATACACACTGAAATAGATGGAAGAATTCTCATTCTGAATGTAATTCAGAATTATATCCTCCAGGATGAGGGACCTTGACCTTCTACTGCATGTGCTTCTATATTGCTTTCTTTTTTTTTTTCTTTTACATTAAGCGTGTATACTTTTGGTCGCTTTTTTGAAATTTATACTTTTTAAGCAAAGTAGTCTGACCTGAAATTCAGTATTAAGAATATGAAGTCAGCTTGTCTTAGTTCAAATCATACCTCTAGTATTTATTAATTTTGAGACCTTGAATTAACTTTCGCCTTTCTGAATCTCAGTTTCTCCTTCTGTAAAATGAAGATAGTAATAGTGCTTTGTGAGCTATGATAAAGATTAAAAAGAAATAATGTATATGAAGTGATTAGCATACTTCTCAGAGGATTTTTGGTGTTCAATGAAAGGAAGCTACTGGTGTGGCTTCGATCCTCATCATCATTGTGGTCATTTATCTGAAACAAAGCTGACACTTCACATGCGTCTTTGAAAAAGAAGGTGGCTCTGATGACTTTAGTGTCTCACCTAGCTTTCAGTGTGTGGGTTATCCTGATGTTCTTATTAAATAAGGGCACCCAATCACAGAACATTTACAAACATGGTGATATCATATCAGGAAAGCATTTTGGCTTCCACTGATTATCCTTTCTTCATTATCATTTGACATGTTTCTCTCAATTTGAACTGAGGCTTAATCAGATCAAGTCTGCTAGTAGGAGTCTCTCCAGTTACCAGCTTCTTGAAGCATATGGACACATATGCTGCATGATTGTTTATGTCAGTGTTTCCTTTTCCTTATTTGTCTTTGCTGACTAGCCAGGAATGGTCTGACATTTGATCTAGTAAAACTGTCACATTCGTCTTCTTAGCAGAACTAAGATTTAACTGTCTTTTTCTTTTCCCAGGATGTTTTTCCCTCTCCCAGGTCAAAGATGTGTTATATGTTCCTTGCTGGAATGGGGTAAATGAGGATTACTATCTTGCCTCTTTCTCATTACAGCTGTCCCCAATCTCTTCATGCTGGAAACAGTGGATTCTGTGAAGTTGGCAGATAAAGTAAACAGTTCCTGGCAGAAGAAAGGTTCTCCTGAAAGGTTAAAGGTCATGATCCAGATTAACACCAGTGGAGAGGAAAGTAAGTGGCCAGACATGAACTGTAGATTTTTCTTCCCTTAGGTTGGTTAAAGCTCAGGGAGAATGGTGGACCTAAGTATCTGGTGGATAAGGTTGTGGAAACAAATCATGGGCCTCTAAATAAGCTGTTTTATATATGATCTAGGTAGCATAATGACATGCAAGCCAATCCATATATCATTCTTTTTTTTTTAATTTTTAATTTTAAAGATGTGGGGTACAATTCAGGGTTAAGTATACAAATGTTCATTATGCACGTATACTTGTTGATGTACTCCTTGTTGAGGTGTGCCCCCCTCCCCTGGCAGAATCCCACTACTGTCAATCACCCCTCCCACCCCAGCAATTGCATATATCATTCTTAACTACATCAAGGTGTATTATATTTTAATTTCAGGAGGGCAGAGGGAGAGTCAAAAGGGGATTGTGACTGATCTGAAAATCCCCAAATATCACCATCACTTCTGATAAGAGTACAAAGTTATGTGTACACTACTTCTCAGGTCTTAAAATATATTACTTAGTATTACATTGGCAGAGAGTAGAAGAAATTTACTGTGAGTACCAGTCAGTGAGTATCTTTATGGGGCTTGAATTAACAGTGTAACATACTGAGTGAAAACATAGGCTTTGGCCAGGCATGGTGGCTCCTGCCTGTCATCCCATCACTTTGGGAGGCCAAAGCGAGAGGATTACCTGAGTCCAGGGGTTTCAGACCAGTCTGGGCAACTTGGCAAGACCTCGTTTCTACAATAAATTTTTAAAAATTAGCTGGGCGTGGTAGTGTGCCCGTAGTTCCAGTTACTTGGAAGGCTGAGGCAGGAGGATCACCTGAGCCCAGCAGGTCGAGGCTGCAGTGCCCATGAGTGTACCACTGCACTCCAGCCTGGTCAACAGAGTGAAACTCCAACTCAAAAAAAAAAAAAAGAAACATGGGCTTTGAAGTCAGATAGACCGTGGGGTTGAGCTCTACCACTTTCCAGTTTTGTAACCTTGGGTAAGTTACCTCACCTCTCCATACCTCAGTTTTTCTGGCAATGATATCCTACTTCAGAGGGTATGGTGAGAACTGCATGTGGCAATGCAGGCAAAACTATTAGCACAGAACCCTGCACATCTTACTTGATAGCTACGAGAAGGGACCATAAAAAAAAAAAGTTATTTTTTTGGTGGGTGGGCTTCTTGGAGTACAGGCTTCCCCTGCTAGGTAAGTGTTCTAGGAACCCATCAGCATCAGTGTACTAGCTAGCTTTGTTGTGAGAGGCTGTGTCCAGCTTCAGTGAATTTTTTTTGGAGATTCAACACACTTGCCCATTGCATGATGGGTGATTTACCTATCCTGTACCTGCATCACACTGAGTGTTCAGCAGTTTTACAAAAACAGCATGATCCCTGTGCCCCATCCTCCTTATTTACCCGATCTTGCCTCAAGTGCCTTTTTTTTTATTTCCTGGATGAAAAAAGTCTACCAAGGGAAATGTTTTGCCCATATGGAAGAAGTGAAACAAAAAACAGCAGAAGCACTAAAAGGCATCAAAATTGACAAGTTCAAAAACTGTTTTGAGCAGTGGAAAAAGCGTCTTGATACGTGCATTGCATCAAACAGAAAGTACTTTGAAGATGACAGGTTTAAACATGTAAGAATAAATACACAATTTTTAATAAATTCTGGGGTTTTTTGGGTCCCCCTTGCATTTGTTAAGAATAAACGTTTACAGATCAGGCATTTGCTTACAACCACCAAAGCACCAGTATTCATCAAATCTTAGCATGAAGGAGCACAGTATTGGCATCTGTTTTCCAGACAGGTCCTAGAGTCAAGCTGTCTGGGTTCAAATCCCAGTTTCACAGTTTCCAGTTTGAACTAAGTTCCTTGAAAAAGGTACTTAACCTCCCTGTGCCTCAATTTCCCCATCTTTAGAATGGAGATAGTAAGAGTACTTACCTCATAGAGTTATTGAGTTAAATGAAAATCTCTCAGGAACATAAGTGTTCAGTAGATTTTAACAGTTATCATTATAGTGTGTGTGTGTGTGTGTGTGTGTGTGTGTGTGTGTGTGTGTGTGTGTATCTCCTAGATTATAGCTACACTACATTTATCAACATGGGTAAATTTTAAATTGACTCCAGATCAAGTCTTTATTACATAAGTTATTGATAATTAGCTGTAATTTGCCCTACTTAAAGATCGAAGTAAATGTTCTTAGCATCCCCATCTTATAAATGAGGGCAAAGCAATATCAACAATCTTTAAGGCTGGGTATGGTGGCTCATACCTGTAATCCCAGTGCTTTGGGAGGCTGAGGTAGGAGACTCACATGAGGCAAGGAATTCAAGACCAGACTGTGCAACAGCAAGACCCTGTCTTTACAAAAAATAATAATAATAATTCTTTTTTCTTTTTTTTGAGTTGGAGTCTCACTCTGTCGCCCAGACTGAAGGGCAGTGGCCGCTCCCGGCCACCACAGCCTCGACCTGCTGGGCTCCGGCGGTCCTTTCGCCTCAGCCTTCCAAGTAGCTGGAATTACAGGCATGCGCTACCACGCCCGGCTGATTTTTTGATTTATTGTAGAGATGAGGTTTCGCTGCCCAGACAGGTCTCGAACCCGTGGGCTCAGGCAATCCACTCACCTCAGCCTCCCAAAGGTGCGGGATTACAGGCTGAGCCACCGAGCCTGGCTAATAATAATTCTTATAACTGCATAACAAATCATTGTTTGCTGCAGATTCTCTGATTGTTAATCAGCAAACTAAGTAAATATATAGTCAAAACTGTTTAATATGTACTTTAATTTTTTTGCAATTCTATTCATGAATCAAAACTATAAAAGCATCAGATTTAGAAAAATAATTCTCAGGTGGTTCTGGCATTTTAGCAATGTTAATCTTCCTGGTATTCTAAGAAAAGCAAGACTTTTTTGTTTTCTCTCTTCCCTAGCTGTTCTCAGCTGTGATCTTAACATGGAGTAAAGAGAATCCAATTTTCAGCTTTTTTCTTGAGAAATTCAGAACCTGACCAGGAGGGAAGTAACATAGAAGACCCCAAATATAAAGTTACTCTTTAGTACTTCAGGATAAGTTATTTGAAGAGGTTTTCTTGTCTGGGAGTCACCTGCTCTGTCATAAGGAAAAGATGAAAACGGAATCTTCCTAACCATTCACCATATGGTACACATGTCTTCCATTTCTTTTTGTGAAGGTAAACACGGCCTTCCACCTTCAGAGACGATCACCATGGTAGAGCATATAAATGCCAAGTGTCCCAGCCTGGAGTTCGTGGGACTGATGACCATAGGAAGCTTCGGACATGATCTCAGTCAAGGACCAAATCCAGACTTCCAGGTACTGGGGGGCCGAAGGGTTACTCAGTAATAAAGAAGCACGGTGCTGCCATGCTATTGCAGGGCTGGCTGCTGCGGCCAACTCCAGAGGCACCCAGACATGCCTGCCAGGCGCTCTAACCCTCTTCTGAGCTCTTCTCATAAAAGAAAGGAGGAAACAAGCTCCCCACACCCCACAGACCGTCCTCAACTCAATTTGAACTTGGCGAAAGCACAGTCTTTAGAGAAAACGAGCTCTTGCTTCCTCTCCAATGACAATGATAGTTTTCTTGGAAGTGGAGTAACTTGCTAAAAACCCCTTCAGTAACTCCTACCAATTTTGCCAGGTGTTGAAATCATGAGGAATACATAATTGTTGTCAGAGACTTCAGATTCAGCCACTTCTGGGCATCATCAGAGAAGAATAAAACAGGTGTCAGTCACCCTTGTCTTTATCTCAGGTGTTACTGTCCCTCCGGGAGGAGCTGTGCAAAGAGCTGAACATCCCTGCTGACCAGGTGGAACTGAGCATGGGCATGTCCATGGACTTCCAGCATGCGGTGAGAATCCTTCTAGTCCCTTTGTCTGCCTCAAGGGGTCCCCAGAAGGCCAAAGCAAGGGCAGGTCTTTGCTGGAGAATCCTTTGAAATGCCTCATGAGAGCAGTAGGTGGCTCTCAACTATTCCAACATCTACCTGTGCCCCACACTCTGCCCCCCCCCCCTTTTTTGAGTAGGAATCTTCCTCTGTTGCCCAGGCTGGAGTGCAGTGGCACACTCACGGCCACCGCAGCCTCAACCTGCTGGACTCAGGTGATCCCTCCACCGCAGCCTTCCAAGTAGCTGGAACCACAGGTGTGCACCACCATACCCAGCTACTTTTTTTATTTATTGAAGAGACAAGGTCTCATCAAGTTGTCCAGGCTGATCTTGAGCCTCTGGGCTCAGGCAGTCCTTTTGCCTCTGCCTCCCGAAGTGGTAGGATTACAGACGTGAGCCACCGTGCCTGGCTGCCCCTTCTTTTCTGAAAAGAAATTTATAGAAGTTATAGCCTGACATCTAATTTTTTTAAATTTGATATAATTATCTAAATTAAGCTATATTTTAACAGGCATTTCATTATGCAAGTGCTTGGGCATGGCTGGTAAATCAATATGACAGTAAATCACAGTGACGTGGTCTGAGGCTTCATCTTAGGTATAGATTCGCCAAAAACGCAACAGCTGTAAATATAAACTGACACAAGTATACTGGATTGACAAATCAAATATGTGAGTTTCTGAAATAGTAAATAACTTTGTAAAGTTCCAAAAATCAAAGCATAAACTTGCATTCCTGGAAAGTTATATTTCTTAACACAGTGCAAAAATACATTTTATAAATAAGATGAAATTTGATTCTATGCTCAGGTAATAAGGAGATTTTTTTGGTCTACCTGCCACTGGAGTACTGGAAAGGTATGTAGGCTGTAAGATGGTGCTTTGCTGTGTGCTGTGTCCTTGTGCACCGCAGATGTCTAATGACCCTGACTGTCCTCATGCTTCCACCGTTGAAAACCAAAGGAATCCCTGCTTGTTTCCCAAACATCCCCTCAGAGGTGAAATTCCCTGAGGAGAACCCCTACCCTGTAGACATCTTCAGCTGCAGCATCATTGTTCTTCATGGAAGCCTCTCGAGAGCCAGAAGGGGAGGCACAGCCTCAGCATTTGCTGCACTTCATTACTTTAGACTTCTTCCCCAATACCTTCTCTTCTTTCCCACAGATTGAAGTAGGATCTACGAATGTCCGAATAGGAAGCACCATTTTTGGAGAGCGGGATTACTCAAAGAAAGCTGTCCCAGACAAGCCCACAGCAGACTTGAAGGCCCCAGTGGAGATGGCACAGGACCACTGAGTGAAGGAACAGCCTGCAAGACTAACTATGCACTAACCTAGGTTTTCATTTTGATATTCCCTATGTTACAGCACAGTCATGTTCTCCTGCAGCCTGGAGGGAGTGCTAATGATGTGTGTTAATGGAAATCATCTGTGCTTAGTCTCTGACGTAGGAGCTCCCTCCAAGCAGTGGCTTTGATTGAATTTGTGAAATTCAGGCACTTCTGCAGAACACATACCAAATCAATAGCCAGGAATTGAGTTCAATAATGAATTCTTCCCAGGAACACGAACCAGTCTGTGGATGCCTTTTCATCAGTATGTCACTGATGCCTATAATTGTGGAAGTCAGAGGGATTCCCTTGTGTCATCCCACTTGAACAGGGCATTCCCATGGTTGACAGCTCCCTACAGGCTCCTGCTACATCATCCAAAGTGCTGCTCTGAAACAAGGTGATTTCTGCCCCCAGATTCTACCCCAGCCGGTAGATATGTGAAGATATTCTCTACTCTGGAGTGGCAGCAGGGAACTTCATGAAATGGCTCAAGTTAATTCTCCAAACACAAATTGATGCTTGGTGGGCATGGTGGCTCCCACCTTTAATCCCAGCACTTTGGGAAGCTGAGGTCTCGCAGATTCCTTACCTGTCCTCCCCAGAAGCCATTCTGCTCTGCAGCTTCAGAGCTGAGCTCTGGCCCAGCTGCCAGTCTCCAAAATAAAACTTTGAAACCAAAAAGGAGGATCACTTGAGACCAGGAGTTGAGACCAGCCTGGACAATATAGCCAGACCCCATCTCTACAAAAAAAAAAAAAATGAAAAAAATTAGCTGGGCATAGTGGTTCATCCCTGTAGTCCCAGCTACTCAGGAGGCTGAGGAAAGAGGATCACATGAGCCCAGGAATTCAAGGCTGGGTTGTGCCACTGACTTTAACATGGAGTGAACTGTGATTGCACCACTGTACCCTAGCCTGGGGAACAGAGTGAGACCCAGTCTCTAAACAAAGACAAAAACCTTGCTAATGAGAGTTTATGTCATTGGCCACCCTGTAGTATTGACCCTAAAATTACAGGAGTAACAAAAGGGACTTGGGCCTTTCTGACATCCCCCTAAAGAGACAGGACTTGGAGTTTCTTCTGGGACTTAGTGAGAATTTAATGGTGTGATATCTCTTCCACCATAATCTTTTTTATGGTGATTTTTTTAAATTAAAGACCAGTGAGTCTCATTATTCCTCAGAAATGAAAGATTCCTCCAAAACCAGCTCATGACTTCAGCAAGGCCCGACCTGGACACTCCTTTTCCTGGGAACACTTCCGAGCACATGCCCCCACCCCCCGTGTTTATAAGCCAGGATTCTGCAACTCTTCTTGATTGTTAATGAAGTATCAAGATCTTCAAAAACCCGAAAACAAAATTCCCCAATAGTCATGACAGATGACTTCAGTGTGGGTCACCGTTTATTTTCTAGGTGGCTTTTTCTCTTATTTATTCCAGCCCCAGTCTTTAATTTTATGAAATAACTGTCAGAACATGATGCTGCTGCTGAATGTACTTTTGTAAAACTCAAACCATTATGATTCCTGCACTGTTTCAGAGCTATAGTGTGATATTTCAGAGTCTATTAAATAAAAATGTGCGTGTGAATTATACCATCTGTGCCAATTACAAAGCAATTAAAAGATTTATTTTTTATGATCTGGTGTAGTGAGTGAATATCACAGGAGGGGGCATTGGAACCAGCAGGAAGCAGCTGTGCCCGTTTCTTGGTATTGTGCCAGCATGGCTTTGGAGGAGGGCTTCCCTCAGGTCACAGACACGGCCAAAGCCACACTGGATGAAAGAGGGATTCTGAACTTCTGAGAGCAAGAAAATGAAATAGAGGCATTGGGGAATTAGAAAAATAGAGGTTACCTCTTGCTGCAAGAACTCTGTAATCGCCTGTAGGTGGCGACATCGGCTAATCTGAGGAGCAGGCACTAGGGCTCCTTGGTCAGCAGTTTGCCCTAAAAGGGACTCCTGGTTGTTTAGTCCCACCCCTACTCTATGGGCAGAAATGGAGGCCAGAGGACATGATTTTCCCAGGTGATACGAGTGACTTGCAGAGCCACTAGCTGCTTTCAACTACCTATTTATTTGCGAATGTTGGGATGGCTGTGGAGCCCTTTGGCAGAGATGAAATGCCTTGAGCAATAAAGATTGCTGGCAGTGTGCCTGGAGGTTAAGCACAATGAAGGAGGCAAGCCAGGGGAGGCTGAGTCAGGTCCAAATGAGGGAAGGAAAACAACGTGTGTCCAGTGAATCCCCAGCAGGACAGCACCTTTTGCAGAAAGTTGAACCAGGATGTGCCTCAGACTTTTGTGACACATGATGGTGTCTGCCCTGAAGACAGCCTCTGAAGGCAAGTTTCTGTAATTACCATAACACCTCTCCTGGATCCATGACCTGGGCCTGTGTCTGCCCCAAAACCAGCCTCAGAAGGCTTGAGATGCTCAAAGACCTCCCAATAATCTGTCAAGGTTTATTGAGTTCCCCATAAATTCTGTCACACTTCTTAAAGCAACCTCTTAATACTCAAATTGTAACCCCTCCCTCTCCCTTGTTTTTAACCATGATGGTTAACAGCATTGTCTGCTATATTCTCTGGTTGCCCTCTCACAACAGCCCATGGGGTATTTGAAGCTATTTGGTGGCATCCTTTTGTGGGCAGGGCACTGAGACCCAAAGAAAGTTCAGTGTTTTCCTTGTCTGAGGTGAGTTTGTTGGTGGCAGAGCAAGAAATAAACTCAGAACTTCTGGTCCAGAGCTTGGTCACTACACCATACTGGTATCTTCTGGTTTTGGCTTTAATCATTAAGAAGCAGCATATACTTAGATTTGCAGCTTTCATTTAAAAGAGCTTTATCACCATAAAAGAAATGTGTGTTTTTCGTCTATTAAAATAGTTGAGAATTGACGCATCTTAATGCAGAACAAACTTTGAAACCACAAGCAGTGGGGGTGAGAAGGGAGAATGAAACCCAGCCTGGAGTGGGCTCAGCTGCCTCCCTCTGTCATCCTGCTTCCCTCCCATGCACATTCCTCCCCCAGATTCAAACTACCCCACAGGCTGCTGGGCTTGGTGTGCCTCCTCCCCCTTGGGACTGGACCGGCAGTGAATTCTGTTCCTCAAGGCTAGACACAAGAGGAATGAGGTCAGACGGGACGTTCTTGAAATCCAAGACATCTTTATCCAGAAAAGAAGTGGCCCGGTGCATTCCAATCTTCGAAACAGAGAGGACTCACCCACCAATTCCTGAAGGGCTGCAGGAAGGGTGGGATGTCGTCAGTGGTGTGAGTGGAAGTGATTTCTCTGGGAACTGTGGCTGTCTTTACCATGATCAGTTGAATACTGTTACATCAGCCTCATGACTAAGGCCAAAAGAATCCAGACCGTCTACCAACATGTTGGACTAATCTGCCCTCCCCCCAAGAAGCACATAGGTAAAGAAAAGAGCTTTTTTTCCCTCCAGTTTGCATCACCGTGTGTCAACCATGGCTCTGTGTGACTGAGCAGCTGCTTACAAGGAACAGGGTCCTTAAACTTAAGCTCCTCTTCTGTAATCACTCGAGGGTCCCCTGGGGTCTCAGAGCTAACTCTTTGTTTTCCAATGAAGTCCTGCATAAACCGGCTGAAATGGCCCATGGTGGGGACCGCGGGAGCGACTCTTGGCACCTTTCTTGTATTAAAAATAAATTTTACAAGCTCACGCCCCTGAGCTTTGCGGTCACAAGGGAGAGAGCCACTCTGAGTGCTGGAGAGCCTTCTTGAAGGTCTCCCAGTGCCAGCTCTCGCTAGCCAGTCTAAGCGGCTCCCCCGCCCGCCCTCCCGGGGAGCCGCGCTCCTCTGCAGCTTCAGAGCTGAGCCTGACCCAGCTGCCAATCTCCAAAATAAAATCAATGTGTGACCTTATTCACCAGATGTACCAAAGAAACAAGCACAAACAAGGGCCAACTTTGAAGCCAAAAAGGGAAGATGAGAAGTGGGAGAGAGAGAAAGAGGAGGGGAAAAAACTTGGCTGGACATGAAAGATGTCCTGGCTGTCTGTTCCCCATTAGGCGCAATTCTCGTGCAATCTGCAGCCTTCACATAATTCTCTTGACCAGAAACTCTCCGGAGAGATAGTGTCAGAAGGAAAAACAAACAGAATAGCATCTTCTGACAGCAAAGTCACTTAAAAACCTATTTGGGAGGGAAGAGGAGAGATGTCAGCACATCGGGGGAGGGCACGCCTTCACAGCAGGCCACATGTGGAGTTGTATTTGCCCCAGGATGGGATGAGGACAGGAGGGGGCCCAGGAGAGGGTTGACATGCAAGGACAGACAGTTGCAGGGAGCAAAACCCTGAGGCCTCTTGCCCTATGGGCCGCTCTGATGCCCAAGATCTGCCTTGACTGTGAACTCAGCACTAAAACCCACTGTGCTGGGCTCTGCACCACCCCATGGTATTAAATTGAGAGGAATTTAGCAGAATTGTCTTAGGAAAAAAGGTTCCAGCAGGGCACAGTGGCTCACACCTATAATCCCAGTACTTTAGGAGGCTGAGGCAGGAGGCTAGGAGTTTGAGACCAACCTGGGCAAGCAACATAGTGAGACCTCATCTCCTAAAAAAAAAAAAAAAAAATTAGCTAGGCGTGGTGGCCCATACCCATAGTCCCATCTACTCAGGAGGCTGAGGCAGGAGGATCACTTGAGCCCAAGAGGTCAAGACTGCAGTGAGCTGATTGCACCAGTACACTATAGCCTGAGCAACAAAGACCATGTTTCTAAAAATGAAAAAAGGCGGCCACCTTCCCGTTTTGACTGCCACCAGCAGCAACAGACTGAAAGCTCTCCCTATAAGCCAGCAGCCAGCTCCCAGGCAGCAAAGGCCTCTTCTCCTGGAGCCCCTTTGACCTGCTTTGAGCTGAGCAATCTGGTCCTCGGGAAGCCAGGTCCCATCCCTCCACCCCCACAGGAGCCCAGGGGGAAGGTTCTGGAGGAGTGGGGGGTGTGGTGAGGGCAGGAGAGGGCAGCCTCTGTGCTCAAGTTTCTGGGGCTGGTGTCCTGTTATAGGAGAGAACATTTTTTTAAAGGAAGAAAAACTAATCAGAAGAAAGAAGCAAGAGCTTCTCCCTGCCTTTGGACTTGTTTATTACTAAGATATCTGATTTCAGCAAAGGAAGCCGGCACTGGAGCAAGGTTTTTATTGGCCGTGAGCAAGAGGAATTCAGGGTTTGCCTTTGATTTGGCTTCCCCAGAACATGAGGCACTGAGGGGTGCTTGCTGCTTTGATGGAGCAGCTCAGGACTTGGGGGCCCCCCGAATTCCCTGTTTCTGCAGTACTGACTAAAGTTTCCTTTGGAGGATGAGGGTGGAGCGAGGGGCCCAGAGTGGAAGGTGGCCTCGTAAACATTTCAGAGAGGAGATCAAAATAGAGGACAAGAGTTTAAAAGTTCTGAAACTGGAGCCTGGGCTCAGGTCCTGCCCCGGCCCCCCTCCCCCCAGTGAGGAGCTGGAGGAGGGCAGGTCTGGTTTGGATGAAAGAGTGTGTTCCAGGCTCGTCTCTGACCAGGAGTTAGGCCGGCTGCAGTCGGAGGGCCAGGGACTGATGGCTTCAATGTGTGGGGAAGATAAAGCCAGAGATCTGTAGAGGCGGCCTCTGCCAGCAGTGCTTCTCAGCTGGGACAGGCTGGGGTCCTGGGGAGGGGGTTCCCAGCTGGGCAGCAGGCTCACGGAGCTGCCGTTGGTC